TGGAGCAGGCATCAGACTTCCTCCTCAGCTTTCTGGGATCTTGAGGCTGCTGGCGGAGTCCTGGCCCTCGCCGCAGTTTCCCCCTGAGACTCTGCCAAGCCCTGGCACCTTGAAGCCCGGGCCTCGGCTCGGATTCAGAAGCCGGCCCAGCACTTCCCCGCTGCCGCCGCTCCAGGCCCGGCCGCGGGGCCCCCCTCCCCGCCCGAGCGAAGGACCTGCCCTCACCCGTGACCTCCGCGGCGGACTCCGAGGCGCGCCAGGCCCGGTCCAGCGCCCGCTGCCCGCCAGGCCCGGACGAGCAAGGGGCCGGTGAGCAGAGGGGCCGCGCCCTGGCCGTCGCGCCCGCGCGGGGAGCCCGGGAGCAGGAGCGCGCGGGCCGGAGCGCGTAGGTGTGAGAATGTGTGAGGGGCATGGTCGGTGGACGAGTGCGGGGCTGTGAGGCGCTGTGCGCCCGCCCCCCGGGACGTGGGCTTACCGAGCCGCAGCGTGCACGGCTGGGAGCGGGTCTCGGACGGAGGTGTGTGCGGGCGCCCGCGGCCTGGGGCTCGGCGGAGGGCGGCTGTCTGCCAGTGGGCCCCGGCCCGACCAGGCCCGGCCGCGCCGCGCCGCGCCCCAGTATGCGGGCCGCGCCGCAGCTCCGGGCGTGCCGTCCTGGTTGTCGAGTCTCGGTGCGAGCCGCGCGGCCCGGCCCGGCGGCTCACTCTCTTCCCGCCCCTCTAATCTAAACCATGCGGGGCTCCCAGCCCGGGCCCGGCCGGCGGGGCCCAAGGGCCGCAGGAAGGGTACCAAGCCGCGCGGTGGGGGAGCGCGAGGCCCTCTCGGGGCTCGGGGTCCTGGGGCCGCGGAGCCAGGGGACCCTAGAGCCCCCCTCTCCGGGGGGCGGCGGGCGCAGACTGATTGACAGCGGCGACGTCAGCGCAGGGGGGTGGCGGCCCCGGAGGGAGGGAGGGAGGGAGGGAGGAGGGAGCTGAGGCCCCAAAGTGCAGCGTCGGAGATCAAGGGTCCGCTCCAGAGCCGGGATGTGTCCGGCCCCGAGGGCGCGGCGGGCAGCGGGACACTGACCCAGCGGCCCCGAGTCGGTGCCCCAGCCGTCCTGTGCCCCTCGCACCCGAGCCTGGTGGACCTCGGGTCGCAGGCGCCTCCGCATGCGGCAGCGCAGTTAGGGTGAGTGTGGGTTCCGGCGGGGTTGGGGGGTGAGCCGGGCGTGCGGGACAGGGGCCACCCTGAGCCCAGGGTTAGGCTGCAGAGCAGAGGAGGATGAACTGGAAAAGAGGCGAGTAACGGAACCGGGGTAAGAACCTCAGGGACCCGCAAGGCTGCAGGAGGGTGGCGAGATGTGCTTCAGCTCAGGCTGCCGCCTCGGCCCGACTCCCAGTGTTCTGGGGCGCGAGCCCTCATCTCCTCTGAATAACAGGATGAATTGGGTCTGGAGACCCAAAGGCAAAGAAACGACAGCGCCAGCGCCAAAGGAACAAGGTTAAGCCGTGACAAGCGGAGCGGTGGTCTTGAAACTGGTGTTTGCAGAATAAGAAAGGCCAAGAAGAGGGCCTGGGTACTTGCAGCGATATCGATGTAGGAGTGTGTGATCAGAAACCTGGACTTCAGAGCCTTTGATGCAACAGGCTTGTCAAAATTAAAGCAAGGAGCATTATATAAATAATTATCGATGATCAAGAATTATCAGAATGTGAGCAATTACCAAAGAAACAGGGCTAAGCGGCAAAACTAACAGCGCTCACACTTTAAAACAAGAGTAAAATAGTGGTCACTTTCACAACCAAGTGAAAATTGTAATCACAGATTTAAAAGTCACTCCAAATATAGGAACAATGTGATAAGAATCCTTGTATTAAAATCAATAATAATAGTATAGGAAATAGTAACAAATGACAAAACTGTAGGAGAAAGGTGAACAATTGAAATACTATTAAGGGAAATACTAATATTAGTAGTAGTGATGGAATACTATCATATAATTTAATATTGATACTATAATGAATTATTAAATAATAACCAAAATCTTTAGAGCAATACTAATACAAACAAAGACAGCAACAAGAATTGCTGGAATAACAGGACAATTTATTACCAAGGTATTAATAGTCCCAACAACATTATAAATAATGGGGAGTTATAAGAAGTATCGTACCAATGTGATGAAAAATAATCAGTGTATTAGGAACTACAGCAATATCACAAATTATGACAAAGTAACAAGGAGTAATGATGTGATGAAAAATAGCCAGCGAATTAAGATCGTAATTACAAATAATGACAAAGTAACAAGATATTGTAACGATGTGATGAAGAATACCTGGAATATTGTGGACAATTTGAACAAATGACAAAATAACAAGAAGTATTATAAGGATGTGAAGAAAATTAACATCAGTATTGAGAACAATAATATTACAAGTAATGGTAAATAACAAGTTATTGAAACTGTGACAAAATACAGAGACCGAGGAGCCAGCAATGGAAGCATTTTAGGGGTACAGAATAAAAATTAAAATAACAATAGATTACAATGACCTATTGGAATACGATATCTAACAATTACCTGACTATTAGTAACAGTATCACTAAGGTACCAGGAGGCCCTAGAATGACGGAGCAGTGGCAGGAAAGCAACAACATATTTAATAATGATGAATTAAATCAAACCAGTACTTTAATTTTACAGTATTAAAAATTAAAAGTACTAATAATTTATGTGCTAGGATATCCTTAATGTCATTGAACTGAACAGAATACTGCTCTGATAATAGAGATAATTAAAATATTTAAAGTAATACAAAATGTTAATTTCCCCCAGTGCGAGAAAAATATCACCAGTAATCTAGAGTGAAAAGTAAAATGCTCTTCTTAGAAAACGAGTTGGCTGAAAGCGACGGACCGAGCGAAAGGGCGCCCAGCCGGCGGGCCGCGTCCACGCAGGGGTCCGCGAGAGGGGCGAGCGCGGAGGCTGCGGGCCGCGCGGGCGGCGGGCTCCGGCTGGTGCGGAACCCGGCTGTGCCGTTCGCGCCGGGGCTCCGGGTCCGAGGGTAACCATGGGGGCGGCCACTCTGGGCCAGCCGGGCGGGGAGAAAAGGAAATTAGCGGGGAGCTCCAGCCAGGGTGAGGGCCAGCTGTCGCGATGTCGGGATGTGTCTCCCGGGCCGAGAGAAAAGGAAGAAACGAAGGAGAGCACCACGCTGCCCTCGTCCGGGATCGGAGCCATGGGACTGGCGTCTGTGGATGCCGGCCGTGGCCGTGCTCCGTGCACAGGACTGAGACCGCCGGGCGTGAGTCAGACGGCTGGCCCTGCCTGGCTCCTGGTGTGACAAGTGCCCCGTAGGGGACCCAGTGGCCAAGACAGCATTGCGCCAGGCGGCGCGTCCTCCCGGCCCCGCGCTCCGCCGCACCTGGGACCAGCCGATCGCGCGGGCCCATCCCGCTGGCCCCAGATGCAGTTGGAACCAGCGTGTTGGGCCAGAGCGTGCAACTCCCCTCGTCGAGCAGTGTCCCCTTGGCCCGGGTCTCCGGGTTTCCTAGGCCTGGCTCGGAACCTGCACGTGGCCCAAGGCGGGTACTGGCGCTAGCCATGCCGGGCAAGACTTGTTTCCTGCTGCCTGTGGCTGGAGGCCTGGGAGGGCTGTCAGCTTTATCTTTATGGGCTTTTCCCAGCCCCAACTCGCCCAGGCCCCTTTTTATCTCCCTCAGTTGCACTTGGCTTGTTTACTTTGTGAAGCCCTGGGAGCCAATGTCTAGGACCTGGGATGGGGAGGCCAGTGGGCAGGATGGTCAGAGGCCTGGGCCTTGGGATGCTCAGGGAGACCCAGGAGAGAACAGAAATAAGACAGGAAGAGAGGCAGCCAGGCACATAGAAAGACCCACCAGATGCAAAAGAAGGGAGAAGAGCAGGGAGGTGGAAAGGAGAAGCAGAGATAATGTAGGGGTTCATCCATGATGGAGGCAGGAAAGGCAGGTCCTGCTGCCTGGGCTCTCGGCCTGATATCTCAGGACCAACTTCTAGAAGGGAGCAGGCACTTGGGGCAGGCTGGTGAATAGTTCTAGACACTTGGGGAAGCATGGCTGTGCCTGAGAGCAGGTCTAGGTTGTGCCTGTGACCTGGACCCACCCAACAGGCCTGGTCCTTAGCTGGGAAGGGTCTCAGTCCTTTGCCCCAAAGCAGAGCCCTTTGGAGCTAAAGTGTGACTGAGTGAGCCAGCGAATGTGAATGTGTGGGCAAGGCTGTGAGGCCCCTGGCTGAGTTCAAGGCCTGAATCAGAGCTGCCCTAGGAGAATGTGGCTGCTTGAGTGACTAGAAAGCTCTGTGTGGGTGCTTGTGTCTGGGTGTGAGGCTGTGTGTGTCTGTGTGAGGGACCCACAAGGTGTCTGTGGGAGTGGGAATGTGCAGGAGTGAAAGCCTTTGGTTCAGGAAGGCTTTACCTGACTGCTGTCTAAGGGAGTGGGTTAGGGCAGATGGGTGAGCAGGGGCCTGAGGGACTGCCCAGCCCTAGGCTCTTTCTGCAGGTGTGGAGCCCCAGGAGCCTGGGCCCTGCCCTCCTGGCCCGGCTGTCCTCTGGTGCTTACCCAGGAAGTGTCCTGGCTGCCCTGACCCAAGAGTGAGCCTGGACCCCAGTTATTAGGAAACAGCGAAAAGAGACCCAGGCCTCAGGCTCCACTGGAGCCGAGCAGGAGGGAGGGACTGGGGGTGCAGCTGGGGCAATGCCGAGAGGGCGGTCCTTCCTCCAGACCTGCTCATCACACAGCCCCACACCCAGGAGCAGGCAGACCTTGAACCGCACACGGACCCTCCCAGGTCCAGAACCCAGAGGGAGGAGGCCACGGTCCTACCCTCCGCATTTTCTCCCTCCCGCAGCTCCGAAGGGGGCGGTGTCCACGTGCGCCTTTCCCTCCCGGGCCCGAAGTCCCCCGGCCGGGTGGGAGCGGGCCGCCGGGCCTCTGGCGAGTGTGGACCCGGGCATGTGACTCGGTGTGTGCTGTGCCCGCAGGAGATGCTGCAGGATAAGGGCCTGTCGGAGAGCGAGGAGGCCTTCCGGGCCCCGGGCTCGGCGCTCGGCGAGGCCAGCGCTTCCAACGCCGCCAACGCCCCCGAGCCCGCGCTGGCTGCGCCGGGCCTCAGCGGAGCCGCGCTCGGCAGCCCCCCGGGCCCCGGCGCCGACGCCGCCGCCGCCGCTGCCGCCGCCGCCGCGGAGCAGGTAGGGCCCGCTGGCCGTCGGGCAGAGGTCGGGCGTCGTTCTGTCTGCAGGGCCGCCTGCGTCTGCCAGTCTGCCCCAAAGACGACAGGACTCGCTCCCGGGGGACCTGGCTGCGTCCCGGACTGCGTGTTCTGCTCCGCGGGGCAGGGCTCGCGCTCTCTGCCTTGCGTCCCTCTTCGGCTTCGCGCCCTCGGGGATACTCAGGGACAGGCGGGGGAGGGCACCCTTGTGGCAGCGGGGCGAGCCCGGGCTAAGTGTCCAGCTCCGACGACGCCGAGAGGGTGGGGGTGGGGGGGCGAAAGCCTGGCACCGGGAGGGAAGAACGGATCTCAGCCGGGTGTGAGCGGGGAGCGGCCGCGGGGACGTCGCTCAGAGTGTCACAGTGATAACCTGATGATCGCAATGAAAGGAATCCGTCTGTGCACGCCCTCGACCGGCATGGGTCTGCGTAGCGTCTGCGGGTGCGCGTGTCCCTTCTGTGTCTGTGTGTCTGTCCGAAAGCCTGTGGCTACCTCCCGCCACGTGGAGTATTTATGTTTGTGTAGTGTGTCATCTACCCTGTCGCAGTCAGGATGTGTCCTCTGCGTACCACAATAGGTGCAACTCCGAAGGAGTGGGTTTCAGCTCCTGATTACATTTTGAAAAATTTACCAGTGGTACAGTATAATTTTATGAAACGAAACCTTCAGACATGAGGTCCTGGGGCTGGCAGCGCTCTGCATAGTTCCTTGGGTCTGTGTTCTCCGTCCTGAGGGCTCCGCGTGGAGCCCTGGCCCAGGCCGACAAAAGTCCCCTTCCCTCTCATCCCTAGACCATCGAGAACATCAAGGTGGGCCTGCATGAGAAGGAGCTCTGGAAGAAGTTCCACGAGGCAGGCACCGAGATGATCATCACCAAGGCGGGCAGGTCAGCGCTGGGACGTTTACTTGGGGGATGGAAGATGACTGGTGGGAACGATGGGGATCCCCTTGGACGCTCTGGCCTTAGCCCCGCGTCCTACCAGGGTTTGCGACTGGGCGCAGAACTTCACCAGCGGAATCCTCCTCTAGGAAGCCCAGCAGGCGGAAGGATGGGAGGGGCAGCACTATGCAAATAAAATGCAAATAAGGATCACGGCGTCGGGGGTCCCAGTTCCAGCACTATCTTGCTTTGTCCTCCTCCTTTTGGGGACCTGCCTGGTTTCTCAGGATTGCATTGATTGGGGTCCCGTAGATGGCCCTCAACAGATAGAGGGAGGGGACCTGTGTTTTCCTATTTCCATAACTTTTCCGGGGCAGCGTGCACCCAGATCTCTCAACCCAGGGGTGCTGCTCCTCTATTGACAGCATCCCCCCTCAGCCAAGGGAAAGGGCCCTGTGTGTGTTGTTTAGGGAGCAGCTCTCGGGTGGCTGCCAGAATAATGATTTATAAAGTGGAAACATCTTTAAAATGCACTGGTGTCTGTGGGAGAGAGCCTGGAGGAAAGCGTGAGAGGAGGAAGATGCAGCCGGGGCAAGATGAGAGAGAGAGAGAGAGAGAGAGAGAGAGAGAGAGAGAGAAGAGAGAGGAGAGAGAGTCAATGGGGTTGGGCGTCTTGGGCGGGCAGGGCAGGAAGGGCTAGGCCAGCGGTTATCAGTGAAGGGGGTTTGCTGCAGACAGTGAAGCTGGAAAGTTCAGGTGTAGAAACTACCCCTTCTCCACTTACTCACATTTGATTTTGGTCCCTGAGGGGAACAGGGAAGGTGTGAAAATGTGCCGTTGTCTGGCCGTGGGCCCATGATTGGGTTTTCCAAGGAATAAGGTGGTGAAGCCTTAAGGGTCAGGGATGGGGAGTCAGACCTCAGCTGCTTGCCTCTGTGCAACCCTCAGGCTAGGTGCTGCAGGGTCTCTGCCCTCTCCTCGGCCCCCTCTGCAAAACCATACATACAGTTGTATGCACAGCACTTAGCACAGCTCTGGCACATGTAAGCGTGCCATAAATGCTAGCTAAAATTAATCGTAATTAGAGAAATGTCTGGCATCTGCTCAGCATTTTTCTTCTACTTTTTTTTTAAAGAACTCTGCCGAACGGTGGGCTGTTCAAAAGAAATAAAAAACTGGTAGTTTGCAGTGTGTAGTGGAGTAGTCCTGTGGTCCCTCGTGTCCTTTCCCTGGCAGGACTTGCAAGGTTTCCTCTGTTTTGTTGGGAGTAAAGTCTGGCCACTTGGCCACCCCACCCTGGTAGGTGGCAAGGCCACCTGGAGCCTCTATCAGGAGAAGAAGCAGGGGGATATCAGGGCCTGAATTTGCTGCATTTGGGAGATGGGGAAGGAGGATGCATGAAGGGAACCTGGTAGAGGGTGCCACTTAGAAGAGTCCTTGAGGACAGTGGGGAGCCAGGTGTTACAAGCCTTGCCTCTTCCTAGCTGAGGGCACCTGGGCACGTCTCTAAGCTTCCTGTGGCTCAGTGGTGTTGGCTAAAACAGAGCTGGTGACTGTAGACTTACCTGCCATCCTTCCTTTCTCCGTCGCTGTGAGACTCAAACCAGGGGTCCTGTGAGCTACGAATGGTAAATTGTTGAGTGGATTATAGGTGTGAAGAAGGGGAATTTATTTCTGGTGACTGCCGGGGTGGAGGGAAGGAAAGAAGAAAGAGAAAGATCCAGAATTCCCTTTTTAGGCAGCAGAAATAACCTTGTCTTTTGAAAATAAATGATCAGCATGTTCTTGGGGCAAGCCTGGCCCCTGGCATTTAAAACAAAAGACATTTGTGATTCTCCTCAGTGGGGTTTCCTGCATCTGCATGGGTCCTCCTCCTTCCCTGCCCCCAACACAGACACAGACACACACACACACACAGACACACACACACACACACACACACACACACACACACACACACACACA